CTGGCGGAGGCAGGCGGCCGCGCTCTCCGCGGCGAGCGGCCCGGGGAGCCCGCTGAGCAGCACCACGGGCCGCCAGCCCGCGGGGGTCCTTCCAGCCCGAGGATGGGCCCCATTGGCCTCCTCCTCCTCCTCCTCCGCCTCCTCCTTGTCCTCCTCCGCCTTCTCCTTGTCCTCCTCCTCCTCCTCCCTTCCTGCTGCTCCTCCTCCTCCTCCTCCTTCTCCTCCGCCTCCGCTTACTCCTCCTCCTCCTCCTCCGCCTCCTCCTGCTCCTCCTCCCTGCCTTCTCTCTTCCCTCCTCCTCCTCCTCCTCCTCTTCCTCCTCCTCCTCCTCCTTCTCCTACTTCTCCTCTCCGCCTCCTCCTCTTGTGCAGCAGCGCTGTCTGGAAGCTGGAAGAAGGACGCAGAAACTGCGACTCCCCCTCCTGCTGCTTGCTGGTCCGCCGCTGTGGGGGGAAGAACGCGAGGGAGGCGAAGAGGATGGTGGGAGGGGGGACGGAGAAAGGGTTGGAGAGGAGGCGGAGGAGGAGGAGGAGGAGGAGGAGGAGGAGGAGGAGGAGGAGGAGGAGGAGGAGGAGCAGGAGGAGGAGGAGGAGGAAGAGGAGGAGAAGAGGAGGAAGAAGAGGAGGAGGAGGAGGAGCAGGAGGAGGAGGAGGAAGAGGAGGAGGAGGAGGAAGAAAAGCAGGAGGAGAAGGAGGAGGAGGGAGAGGGAGGGAGGGAGGGAGGAGGGAGGAGGGAGGAGGGAGGAGGACAAGGAGGCTCCGCTCCAGGACCGCGCCGGGAGGGGCTCAAGAAAGCACCAAGAACGCTCCTGATTCCTCCGTGCTCCCTCCCTCCTCCTTCATCCTCCCACCCTTCCTCCTCCCTCTCCCTCCTCTCTCCTCTCCTCTCTCCTCGTCATCCTCCTCCCTCCCTCCCTCCCTCCCTCCCTGCCTCCCTGCCTCCCTCCTTTCCTCCATCCCTTCGCCACGGCCCCAAGGGCTCCCAGAAGGGACCGGCACCCGCGAACGGAACCCTTGGGGCGGCCGGACTGGTCGATCCGATCGCTCCCTCGCGGCGCCCGTCGCGTTCGGCGTGGGGCCCCACATGAATTATCGATGACTTACTTACTGGGAAGAGAAGGAAGGGGAGGATGAGGGGACGGCCGCGCAAAAGGCGCAACGGCAGGGGCGGCCCGGCAGGGGAAGGGGAGGGAGGAGGAAGGGAGAGGGGGACGGGGGGCGGAGAAGTTCGTCGGCGCGGTCGTGGTGGTCGTGTTGGTGGTGATCGAGGTGGTCGTGGTGGTCGTGCTGGTGGTGGTCGTGGTGGCCGTGATGGTGGTGGTCGTGGTGGCTGGTAGTTGTGGTGCTGCTGTGGTGGTCGTGCTGGTGGTGGTGATACTGGTAGTCAATCAGCTGGCGGCTGTGGTGCCCGTGCTGGCGGCGGTGGTCCTGAAAGTCGGCCGGGCTGGTAGTGGTCGTGCGGGTGGTTGGTCACGTGGTGGTGGTGGTGGTCGGCGCCTATCTCCCCAGGGCGCTCAGGATCATCTCCGCGCCCCCTTGTTGTAGGGTGCGTGAAATGTCCCGCCAGATCCGGCTTAAGAGCTCGGACCGGTCGGCATCCTCGAGAGGGGCGCCGTAGCTCCGAATGAAGCTTACGACCTCGTCGGACGGCCGCCCCCCGGTCTCGAAGACCATCGGGACGAGGTCTGGGCCCTCCCGGGGGGGGTACCGGCTGCGTTTGTCGTCGACCATCTGGGCTGCTGCGAGTCCATCTCGTTCGGCTCGGGCGCGCCTGCGTGGGGCGTAGGTGGAGTGTGTCGTGTGTCCGGATGTCCAACCTTCCTTCCTGGAGGACCCCGGTGCGGGGATGGCGGCGATCCCGCGCTGGAGCGTGTTGTTCCGTCGGAGCAGCATGACCCGTGATATCCTTATGCATGGATGCGTGTCGGTCACGGAGGCGGTCGTGCCGGGCGGCGCGGGATTGGCCCACCTCGCATGACTTGGCACGGAACCCGTGTGGGTCGAGGGGCTCTCCGCACAGCGTGCCGTCTTGTCGTCGGTGTTGGCAGCGCGACCCGGCGGGGCAGACTGGCGCTCGCAGCCGGCACATGAGGTTCACCTCGAAGTGGTCGTCTGGCTGCAAAGGGTCTCCTGGTTGTCGAGGTTGGAGGAACGCCCCTGCGCCAACGCCGCCGCACTCCCGGAGCGCCAGCTGGTCGTTCTCAGGGAGCTGCCGCAGCTGGGCTCTGCAAGGCTCCCGACGCCAAGCCTGTGAGGAGGGATCCGCACGAGGAACGACCCGCGGCCGCTCGAGGGCGACGCGGTGACGGAGAAGCAATGCGAGATCTCACCTCGGCCCCCGCACCCGCAAGTGCAGCCTCGAGTGTGGCGAATCACACATCCGAACGCGAGTGGCCCAGCCTCCGGACATCGTCTGAAAGACCGCCCGTCGCCGGCCCGGGCGAGTCTCGAGGCACGCCTCTCTCAAGAGGGACCGTCTGGCAGCGAGATCGGGCAGGCGAGGGAATCCCCAGGACTCGAGGCGGCGGCCGAGGGTCGCATAGAGTGCCCAGATATGCGACGTCCTGATTCTTTCGGGGCGGCGCCCCCGGAAGTCACGACCCTTTCCCCGGGGCCGGCTTTGCATCCCGAGGCGTCTTTTCACGGTCCCGGGGGCAGGCGAGGGCCCCCAGGGGCCGAAAATAGCGAAAAACGGCCCGTCCTGATTTCTGTTACGACGCGATCGAGTCTGGGTGCAGTAATTACCTGCACGCGGGGGGCCTCCGGGCTGCTGGCCGGCGGCCGCCCCCGGCCGCCTTTTCGTGGCCGCCCCGTGCGGCGCGCTTCGGCCAGCGGCTCCATACCAGAAGTCTCGGTGGCGGGCCGCCGCCCGTGGCCGCCCCGTGCGCTGGCTGGCGTCTGGGGCTGCACACCCAGACAGGCTCGCGTCGCTCAAGATTCAAGACTGGCGTTTCTCGCCCCGTGCGCTGGCTGGCGTCTGGGGATGCACACCCAGACAGGCTCGCGTCGCTCAAGATTCAGGACTGGCGTTTTCCTCGCTATTTTCGGCCCCTCGGGGCCCCCGCCTGCCCCCGGGGAGCGTCAAAAGACGACTCGGGATGCAAAACCGGCCCCGGGGAAAGGGTCCTGATTTCTGGGGGCGCCGTCCTGAAAAAGTCAAGACGTCGCATATCTGGGCACATGGCTTAAACCAGATAGAGCGCACAACGTAGATTACGCCACAGATCGTGCACCCAATATCCCGTGCGACATGGACTGTATGGTATGTCGCACCACATAGCTTGCACAACATATACTGTATACCACACGTTGCACCGCATCCATATGTATGTATGTGTATATATACACACATATTTGTACATATACACATATTTACCTAAATGGCACCACATGAAGTGCATTGCACAGATTTCGCATTGGTTAAGCATAATTTTCAAAACGCACCAATTGCATCACGTAGAGCGTTCATCGAGAGTGCAACAGCCCGCTGCTCGCGGCCCACGCTTGCAAACATCAGCAGAAAAAAACTGCACGGGTCGCGAAACCGACCGCTCGCTGGATCTTGGGTTTCCGCTCGGCTTCCGCAGCCGCTCGCAGTTCTTGCCGTCCTTCAACTTTGGCGGATGGGCGAGGGCACGAAGACAGCCGCGCGTCACGCATGGCGGGCTGGGATTCGCGGAGCTAGGTGGCCTGGAGGAGGGAGGAGAGAGGAGAGGGGACCGACGATTTTTGAGGGCGAGGGAGGGGGGGAGCATCGCGGGGACTGTGTGCGCACGCGCGCGGTGCCTATCTGGGGAAGTTTCTGCTCTCGGCATGTGCTCGCCCATGGCGAGCGGCACGGCTCTGCTACTTTTCTCCACCCCTTCACCTCTTGGCCTTGGGGGGTACGAGCAGCTTGTGATTCACAAGCTCACGCCAGGCGCGTGATTGCTCGTTTCATGCCCAGCTCGGGCGAACCGCGGCGGGGCGCTGGCCAAACACACACGCATCGCGGCAGCGCCGTCGATTGGAGCCCGCACCAGGCCGCTGGCTGCCCCGCCTACTTCCTTGGTGCCGGTCCCCTCCTCCTCCTCCTCCTCCTGTTCCTGCTCCTTTTCCTGTTCCTTTTCCTCCTCCTTCCCCTCTTTCGTCGCCTCTGCCGCTGCCGCCGCGATCGCCGCCGCCGCCGCCGCCCTCGCCGCTGCCGCCGCGCTGGCGCTGCCCACCGGAGAGGCCGCGCGCTCCACGCTGGGCCACCCCTCGCACCCGTGGCGCATACCCGACAGCCCCCGGAGTGGGGCGGTCGGGGGCAAAGAAGGAGAAAGGAAGGAAACGGAGGCGGGAGTTTTTTTTTTGCTTTCCCCAATCAGGCTTCGCCTCAAAGAGTCCTGACCAGTTTTCGCGAGAAATCGGTGGGTGCGACGGCCCAAGTCAGAGGCGGGCCATGGCGTTGCCCGGTTCCCTGGTCTTCAATGAACTATATTTGAGTCGTTGCCTGGGTTCCCTGGTCTTGTTCTTTGGCTCCCCCAGTCTTTTTGCGGTTCCCGGGTCTCGCTCCTTGCCTTCCTTTCTTGGGTTCCCTGGTCTTCTTCCTCGGGTTCCCCAGTCTTGTTCCTTGGGTTTCCCAGTCCTTGCAATGCCATTCAATGCCAAGCGCTGCCAGGCAATGCCGAGCAACTCCGAGCATTGCCAACAACGCGGAGAACTGCCAAGCAAATCAAAGCAAAGCGATACCAAGTAACGCCAAGCGAAGCCAAGCATTGCCAAGCAAAGACAGGTATTGCCAAGCAATGCTAATCAATGCAGAGCAATGACAAGCAATGACAAACAACATCAAGCAAAGCCAAGCACCGACAAGCAATGCCAAGGACTGCCGCGAAAGGCCAACCGATGCCATGCCGAGCAATGCAAAGCAACGCGGTCAAATGCCAAACAATGCCAAGCAAAGCCACTTATTGCCAATCAATGCCGAGCAACGCCAAGCACTGCCGAGCAACGCCAAGCAACGGATCCAAGCAATGCAATGCCAACCAATGCAAAGCAATGCCAAGCAACGGCAAGCAATACCAAGCAACCACAAACATTGCACTGCTCTGCCTTGCTCAGAGCTGTTTGACATGATTTGGACGAATGAGGATCCCCCATAGGGGTCGCGCCAGGTTGACGCACAATCCTCTCGAATCTACCAGGCCAGCGTCCGGCACCGGCTCCGCGCGAGGAGCAAGAAGCTGCGACGGCGACCAAGGTGGGCGGAGAGGGCCCCGCGAGCAGACGAGGCCGGGGCCGGGCAGCGGAGGGGCGAAGCCGACGGCACCCCGAGGAGCTTCGGGCGTCGCGTGCTCGCAGGCCCAGCGCGGCGGGCAGCGGGCGCCGCAGGGCTCGCGAGCGAGAGCGCCTGCCTTTGGGGCGCAAGGCGCGGATGCGCGCGCGCAGCGCTCGCAGGTGCACCGCGCGGCACTGTGCAGGTCGGCTCCCGCTCGAGAGCGTGGAGGAAGAGGAGGAGGAGGAGGAGGAGGAGGAGGACGAGGAGGAGGAGGAGGAGGAGGAGGAGGAGAAGGAGGACGAGGAGGAGGAGGAGGAGGAGGAGGAGGACGAGGAGGAGGAGGAGGAGGAGGAGGCGTGGTTCATACTGCTTGTCCTCATCCGTTGCTTGGTCGCACGCGGTGCCCTGGCGCGCGTGGCTCAAAAATTAGCTTCGAGCGACGCGGCGTCTACTCACCAGCCATTGGGAGGGGGGGGGCGGCGTCGTTCGCTCATAACAAGCTGGACTGTGGGCGCTGGGCGAAGTACAAGAAATATGTGAAAGTCAAGATCTGCTCGGCTTCGGAAGTGGCTTGTTGTTCCTTAGGTCCTTAGGTAGTTTCCCCATGGACCATCATGCACCCATGCGCTTTTGGTGCCAAAAGGGGATTTCGTTTCTGATTTAGCGTTCCTGCTGCTAGGCCTTCTGCGAGGGAAACATGGGCACAAGCAGCTAACAGCAGCGTGTGCTCTTTCGTGCTTTATGTTTCGGCTGCGCTTGCTGCCTGGCGGAGGCTTGAAGGACGCACGCGCTCTCACCCTCCAATTTAATGCTCACGAAAGCATGTTTATCTTCCGGTTGCGCCCGAGGTAGTGTGGAACAAGTGGCAGAGAAGGAGGAGAAAGCAGACCAGTGTAAACCCAAGACGCATCAACGATGTTGCAATACACCCTCCCTCCAGATTCCCTCTCCTCTTCACTCCCAGGAGTGGCATTGAAAGACAACCGTCTGAGAACCCTCAATCGTGCCAAAGCACCATTCCTGGGACGTCACTCCACGAATCAACTGTACTGTTGCGTCCTGACGACCCTGCATCGTGCCAGAACACCACTCCGAGGACATCAACACAACGAATCAACGTAACTGCTTTGCCCAGACAGACCTTCGTTCGCGCCGGAACACCATTCCTGGGACGTCAAGCATACACGGTTCTGAAACTGTTAAAACCAATGCGCGCGGCCGTTAGGCGAGAACCACACTCTTAAAGCCACCTGCCATTCACGTAAAATTTCTTGCAAACTTCCTAGACAAATATGCGTGACGCTACGGCGAGACTCACATTGTGAAAACGACCCGCCCTCCATCCGTGAAGCTCTTACAAGCATTCTAGATGAACGTGCGCGGCACTATGGCGAGAACCACATCTTGAAAAACCGCCCGCCCTCCATCCGTGAAGCTCTTGCCAACTTTCAAGACGTATCTGCCCAATGCTGAAGCGAGAACCACATGTTGAAAAACCACCCGCCCTCCATCCGTGAAGCTTTTGCCAACTTTCTAAACGAATATGCGCGGCGCTACGGCGAGAACCACATTTTGAAGAACCACCCGCCCTCCATCCGTGAAACTCTTTCCACCCTTTAACACGAATGTGCGCGGCGCTAGGGCGAGAACGACATTTAGAAAACGACCTCCATACCTCAATCCGTGGAGATCTAGCCTACTTTCTGAACGAATGTGCGCGGCGCTAAGACGAGAACCACAGTTTGAACACAACCCGCCCTCCATTCGTGAAGCTCTTGCCAACTTCCAAGACGAATGTGCGCGGCGCTGAAGCGAGAACAACATTTTCAACAACCGCCCGCCCTTCATCCGTGAAGCTCATGCCAACTTTCTAAACGAATGTGCGCGGCGCTGAAGCGAGAACCACATTTTGAAAAACCACCCGCCCCCCTCCATCCGTAAAACTCTTACAAACTTGTTCGACGAATATGCGCGGCACTACGGCGAAAACAACATTTTGAAAACGACCCGCCCTCCAACCGTGAAGCTCTTGCCAATCTTCACTTGCTACACGAATGTGCGCAGCACTGAGACGAGAACCACATCAAAAAAAAACACCCGCCCTTCATCCGTGAAAGTCTCGCAAATTGTCCATGCGAATGCGCGCGGCCCTGGAGCGAGAACAGCATTCTGAAAACCACCCGTCCTCCGTCCGCGAATCTCCTTCAACTTCTAGGCGAACGTGCGCGGCGCTGAGGCGAGAATTAGATGTTGAGAAGA